CATCTTAGGGTTTTAAATGTTCACGTTTCCCGATGTCTGCCTGCAGTTTTATAAAGGTGTTGTTTGCAAATGCTGTGAAAAATCCTGCAACCTACCAACAGGTTGAGCTCTTTCCCCCTCCCGAGGTCTAGCTCGACCCCTCCCCCGACCCAACTTTCCTGCGCAGCTGTCTTCCTCCTCCTCCGCCCCCCCCCTCCTGATTTCTTTTTTGCTTTTCAAATTTATTACTTCAACATGGCCTGTGATCTGGAAAAGGGAAGGATTAAATATCCAGAAAAGAGCTGGTGCCTAATAGACTTCTGACTAAACCCAGAAGGAAATTATTCAGTGTTTTATGGGATATTTTGTGGTCACTTTTTTTTAAATTTTTGAATTGAAATTGGAAAAAATTTTAAAGACCCCACTTGGCCCGGTTTTAATTTCTGTTGGTGTAAATGGCCTGTGATCTGGAAAAGGGAAGGATTAAATATCCAGAAAAGAGCTGGTGCCTAATAGACTTCTGACTAAACCCAGAAGGAAATTATTCAGTGTTTTATGGGATATTTTGTGGTCACTTTTTTTTAAATTTTTGAATTGAAATTGGAAAAAATTTTAAAGACCCCACTTGGCCCGGTTTTAATTTCTGTTGGTGTAATTAAATAGTGAATTCTGATTTAAGAATAAAAGCCAATAATTTTAGCGGAAGGTTGCATCTGTTAGAACTGCTGATATTGAATAGATGTATTTTTAAATACACGGTTTTTTAAAGAAAATTGTTCATTATGGGAAAATGAAAGTGAACCATTGTAATGATCTGTGTATTTTGTTACTGCTATATAAGCCATACCTGAGAAAATTAATCTTGCCATTTAAAAGTAAACTCTAGGGGATTTGGGGAGGGAGATGGCTCTATTTATAATCCTCAGCTGCATATACATCGTCTAATATTATGCATGATTTGTTTTTTAATGCTAACACGGCTGGTAATTAGCTGTATGATTATACTTGTATATTTCATTAGGACTTGGGCTGATGTCATTGTGAATTATTCAGCCATATTAAAACAATTTTCAATTGAGATAATGACACGCCTCAAAATTATGCAAATGCAGGCTGCATTGTGCAAAATAATTATGACAAATGTAAAGCAGGTAGAAAGTTTCCCAATGCAGATCGGTTTTCCACCCGGGTGATGTCATTTTCCCCCTGGCCTAAGTTAGTCATTCATTAGCAGAATAGCAGCAGCAGCCGCCTCTCGAGGAGAGCCTACAGAAACCAGCACTTACTGCTGGCACCTAGAGGGGGCAACAGGGCCCTCTCATTAAGAAATTTGCTTTGTTTTCACTTACTCCATTAACTTGTTTATATACAGTGAAATGATTTTTATTATGGATTTTGAATAGTTTTGAATGATGCATTTGCCATTTGCAATGTATAACTGAAAGAGAAAGGTTTCTTGGTGATGTGCATTGTTACTTGGAGAGAATGTTCAGCACATTTAATCAGCCAGTACAGTTTATTTTAAGTAACCAAATGGAGGTTAATAATTTCCTGATTGAGCTGACATCAGCATCCATTTCGAAAGGACAGCCAGGACTCAGTATGCTTTTTTGGCTTATGAGAACCAGTCTGTCTTTTTATGATTTCTTGAAGTGTAAATACGTCAGTTCTAAAAGCAGGAAAATTGTCATTGTGCAGAGATGACAAATAGCATCCCTGTGTGCTTTGCTATGATCGGCAAAGGGCTTTTCTGACGGCTATTTTCTTACTGACCTTTGTAATAGTTGTATGAGGCTGGAGAGGCAGGATTGTGTTTGCCCATTTTACAGATGTAGACAAAAGCTTGCGGAGTTCATATGGTTTGTCACAGGTTGCCGGGCTAGAAACTAGGCCTTTTAAAGCTTTAGGGCTGGTTTATTTTTCCACTGAAACCAGAGCTTGAGTACATCAGATTATGTTCTAGAAGTGCGTACTAATGTGAACAATTTCTTAAACATTTTGAACTATGACTGGTTAATCAGCTTTGCCAAAGGTCACCAGATGTTTAGGTGGCAGAACCATTTTTATTCTATAAAGTTCAGCTAATTCTAGCCAGTGGTCTATAACAAGAACAGTTACATTTTAATAACACTATTAATAACCATTAATACTTTATTATTTGTTTTAATAATTATGATGAGTTGCATGCTTATATACATTGCTGCCTTCATTTACTTCCAAAAAGAGTCACATCTTGATTCTGCAACTTACTATTTATATGATTATTGAATAATCATAAACACTCTGAACCTCAGTTTTTTCAGCAACAAAATGGGAGCAATAATCAGGTTGACTGTGGATTGTTGTGAGTATGAAGAGGCATCATATTGGCGAAAGTACTATATACACTGTAAATTCCTTAAATAAATAGAAAAGAGTTATGATTATGGTGACCTTTATTCTAGATATTCTTAATTTGTAAACAATAAACATAATAATATTTATGTCTATGTGGAGTTTCCTGGGCCTAATCATGTTTTAAATGATCATGAAAGTGAATAGCAAGGCCATATGCAAGAGTGAAGTGTCTTCAGTAATTACCCACAATTGCCACATTCAGCCAGTAGCTCTTTAGAGGAGGAAAATGGCAAAGTAGGCGGGTAATTGGTTCTGTTACTGGGTATAACTTCTGATTACATTCATTTTCAAATTGCCAAGTGCTTGATCTGTTGGCAATATACCCTCTTAAAATAGGTGGATGTGCAAGCATGGATTTCAGCCTGACAGTCCATGGCTGAATTCTGCAAGGTTTGCTGGTAATCTGCAACAGTGAGTGTACATGAGGAAACTAATGATGTCCGGGATTCAAGATCAAGCACATCTGGGCATTATAGATTCTGGCACACAGGCAGGATTTCTAAAAGTGGTTTGATTCTCAGCCTCACCATGGGTTAAAAACAGTTTAAAATGCATACTCTGGAGCCAGCTATTGAAATTAACTCAAAGCCCTGGCCGAGTAATTCAGTTGGTTAGAGCATCATCCCCATATGCCAAGGTTGTGGGTTCGATCCCCCATCAGGGTACATACAAGGATCAACCAATGGATCCATAAATAAGTAGGACAAATTGATGTCTGTCTGTCTGTCTGTCTCTCTCTCTCTCTCTCCCCCCCCCCTTCCTCTCTCTCTTCAACTAAATTTAAAAATAAAAAAAAATAAATTTACTCAATTAGAATCTCTGGAATTGGGGTCCAGGATTCTGCTTTTTAAACAGTTTCACTCTAGCTGTGTGAAGTTGGGCAAATTGTAAACTTCCTGTGTCTCAGTTTTCTCTTCTATAAAATGGGAATATAGTACCTACTTCTTAGGATTATTTGAAAGATTTAAACAAGTTAATACATGTAAAGTGCTTACAATGGAGGTTGGCACATAGTAGATTTTTCAATAATGTCATTATTATTTTCATTAACATTAGTGCTATTGTTGTCATTGAAGTTTGAAATCACTACCACAGACCCTCCTAAAGAAAACTTTTCTCTGAAAGGATGGCATCAAGGTTAGTTTGCTAGAATATGTAGCTAATTCAGATCCCCCCAAATCAGGTTGGCTTTCACCTATATGGTGGGTTTAGTTGTGTTACCAAAATAAAAGGCTCCATAAGGATTTACATTTTAGTATTGATGAATACTGACAACTGGATAGGCAGGATTTTAAAAAATATTGACTGATTGTATCACA